CTATGCAGTTTGGACTCATAGTGATCCTCCTGTCTCAGCCTCCCTAGTGCTGAGGTTACAGGCCTGTGCCACTAAGCCCTGTGCTGGGGCTGGAACAGTGTGCCCAAGTTTCCAGGCTGGCTTTGGCATGCGGTACTGGGGATCAAACTCAGGATCTTGTGCTTGCCAGGCAGGTGCTTTTGCCACCCAGCTGGGGGAGTTTACCTTCTATGCACTTTGAGCATTGCTTTGGACAATGGCAGAAACAGCTCTGCTGCATGACCTAAATGTGGTGCAACTGAGAGTGCTAGTTTGCTGAAGGGGAGCCACATTCCAGTTAGCCTTGCAAAAAAATGTAAAGCCAGGTAGGTGTCAGGGAAGTCCAAAGCTAATGTACATGATAGTAGAGCCCAAGAACGCTTTTTTTTCTGCTACCTAGAAAAAGGAATTAGGCACAGATTGCAATAGGAAGTATTTGGTCTGGAAGCCAGGAATCACTTGTCAATGGAACATTTTAGAAAGTAGACAAACTAGTGATGTTGCTTTCATGGGGAAAGCATACTGCTTTTTAGACTTAATAGACTCAGATCCCCTTACATCTTTAAAACGTTGCATACAAATTTTATTATTATTCATAAAATGGAAATTCTTCAATATTTCTTACCTTTATTTCCTTTGACAATTAAAGGCTTTTGTTTCCTTTTTCCTAGGTTAGGACTCCTAAATGGAGAAGCCAAAGAAGAGCTTTTTGGCAAATGTATTTCACACTTTTTTCCTGTGATTTCCAGGATCTATTGCTTACATTAGTGGACATTTTAATAAATATGACTAAGTAGTTTTATAAAACTAGTTCTTTTCTCTCTCTTCTTTTGCATGTAGCTCAGTCCGAGTTCAAGAATGAAGAAGCTGCCTCAAGGTCGTCCCGTGCCTCCCCTTGGACCTGAGACAAGAGTATCTGTAGTCTGGGTGGAACGCTATGATGATATAGGTATTGTATAAGGACTTCATCCGTAATAGGATGATAGTGATTTGCCAACATCTGAAAGAAATGGAACCCTGCATTGCAACTCCACCGTTCAGTGTATTAAGCTTCAGATTGCTTATCTGAATTGGGGATAATTATGGCACTTATTTCATGGTGAAAATATAATGAGGCCAAGGGCCGGTGGTATAGCTCAGCGGACTAAGCACTTGCTTAGGTAAGTGTAGGGGCCAGGGTTCGATTCCTGGCTCCACATGCTGCGCCAGCCCCACCTCTGAGTGTGCTGAGCTGATGATAGAGTCCGGGTGCGGTGGCGCGCGCCTGTAATCCCAGCACTTAGAAGGCAGAAATCAGGAGGATCACTACTAATGTGGGCTATGTAGTGAAACCCTGCACACAAAAGAAAACTTTATAATGAGGCCAGTAGTTATAAAGTTTTTAGCTCTTCCTGTTCGCAGCATAAATACTGTCCCAGTCAGCCTAGGACCTCTAGTTTGGGTAAAGGAAAACACTTCGCACTCTTCTCACTGTGCCCTCTAGTTTTAATGTAAAGATGACTTTGTCCCTTCTAGGTTTTACTATGTTTTCTATAAGAAGCAGGAGAGTATTAGAAATGCATACCTAACCTAAGATCCCATCGTCCTCAGAAGTAGTGGGAAAATGTAATAGTTGCTCAGATCATGGTCCCTAAAATGTTCTGCTTTAGATGAATTTAGCCAAGACATCTTTTTTTTTTTTTTTTTTTTTCCCCTCGAATGCCTTCAGGGCACTTTTGGCCAGCAGGAGAGTTGTGAGGTTCGAACTCCAGCAACCTGAGGCTGACAGCTTTGTGGAAGCAGCCACTTAAAGGCCTGAGCTAGGGCCAGGCCCCCTAGCCAAGACATCTTGAAGGAGATTTTTCTTTTTTTAATTTTGGAGAATCATTAGGATTACCTGTTACAGGACTGCACAATCTTAAATATTTGTCCTGTCTCTTTACTAGTGTAAAGAGAGTAGGAACTTAAGATTTCCTATGAGTTGTTTGGGAAAAATGAGAGTGATATTAATTTTAATGCTATTATTTTCTTCCAGAAAACTTTCCCCTTTCAGATCTAATGACAGAGATCAGTACTGGCGTGGAAACGACTGCAAACAGTAGTACTTCTCTGAGGTTTGTCCTTATTATTTCCCTGAAGTTCATCCGCGTGTGTTTTTATATATTGATTGCAGCTTAATAAAATAGAATTACAATGTATTACAGAAGTTGAAGGCAAAAATAGTAAGTCAGAGAAGTTTGTACATAAATGCAGGTGGCTATTAAATTAATGAAAAGTTTTAAAAATCATTTTATTCAAGTATGATTAACAAAAAGTTGTACGTATTTGATGTATTTAACTGGGGGCTTTTGTATTTAACTTGTGGAGATTGAAGATAAGTACACATGGAACCACCAGAATCAGTGCTATACACATACTTATCACCTCCAAAGGATCCTCTTACTCACATAATTACTATTTTCTTGTAATCCTTAACAGAAAATCTACCCTCTTAGCAAAATTTTAAATCTAGTATTATTAATGTTAGCAGCAGTGCTGTATGATTAATCGTTAGGACTTGTTCTGCATAAATGAAACTTTGTGCACTTTCATTAATTCCTTCCCATTTTCCTTTCTCTACCCCCATTCTACTCTCTGCTTCTAAGAATTTGATTATTTTATATTCATCATAAGTGGTATCATGTAGAATGTTGTCTTTTTGTGCTTGGCGTATTTCATTTAGCATAATATCTCCAGACCCATGTTATTAGAATTGATAGGTTAACATTTTAAGGCTAAATAATACCCCTTTATATGTATATACCCCATTTTTAAAATCCATTCATCTGTTAATGTATATATGCAGGTTTCTACCATCTCAGCTATTGTGAGTGATGCTGGATTAAACATGGGAGTGGAGATACCATATTAGGCTTACATATTTTAAGATAGCACTGGTTCTCTTTGAGATCCTTATTTCAATCCTTTTGGATATCTATCCACAAGTAATATTGCTGGATCATGTGGTAGTTGTACTTTTTAATTTTTTTGATGAATAGCCTTACTGATTTCCGTAGTGGTTATACTGATTTTCATTCCCACCAGCACCATACAAGGGTTCCCTTTTCTCTATCCCCACCAACATTTACCTTTGCTTTTATGAAAATGATCAGCCTAGTAGGTGTGAAGTGATATATCACTGTGATTTTGATTTTCATTTCCCTAGTAATCAGTGATATTGAACACCCTAGCAGGGATTTTTTAATTTTTTAATTTTTTTTGCGGTCCTGAGGATTGAACTCAGGACCTTGCACTTCCCAGGCAAGCACTTATTCTACTGAGCTATCTCCCCAGCCCTAGCAGGAATTTTTAAATGGTATCATTAATTGCTGTTTATATTTATTTGTAGAAAAAAGGAAAACAGAAAAGTTGTGGCAATTAATGAAGACTATCATAACAATATTAAGTAGAAAAGATGGAGTTAAATTAGGGAAAAATATGGACAAATGGCAGTCTTAAGTATCTTAACCTAACACGCTATTTAATAGGGAAATACTTGTTTATTTTTTATTTTTTGAGACAGTGTCTCTGTAGTCCAGGCTGGCATAACGCAAGCTGACTTTGAACTTGCAGTGGTCCTCCTGCCTCAGCCTCCCAAGTAGTAGGATTACAGGCATGTGTCACCACACCCAGTTTACTGAGAAAATATTTCATTTTAAAATTTTATTATTAAAATAAAAATAAAGGGGCTGG